AGAAGAACATGATGGCGGCTCTGTTTCACGATTTGCAGAAACAAGCGTGAGGATTTGCTTCACGTGAGGGCTTCAGTGCTTCGACCAAGAAGAAAAGAAGCTGCTCTGTTGCTGCTCTGTTTTTTTTTCTTCAGGTATGCGACGGAAGAGGAGGAAGAGGGGATGGAGGTAAGGGTTTAATTAAAATTTGGTTGTTGGGTATTAAATTTTTTATTGTTGGGTAATTTAATTAGGGGATTTTTAAATATTATTAATAAAAAGAGGGGTAGAGTTGTGAAAAGTTAGTTTTGATGGTAGTTAGATTTGAAGGTGGTAGTAAGGTTACCTTTTTGTTTGAAAGGAGAAGTGAGCATTTGATCCAAAAAAGAGGGGTAGAGTTCAGAGAAAAAGAGTTGACGGGTGGTTAGGTCAAAGACGGGTGGTAAAAATTTTTTTTGTAATTTGGGCTTTTTAAGTTACAATCCAAATCTCTCTCTTCTTCACTCTTACAGCCCGAGCTTTGTTGTGACTTGTGAGTGAAGAAGAAAGGAGCCATGGAGATTCTCACGGCGCAATTTCTCCACTGCGCGACGCTACGGAATCCAAACACAACCTTTCTTTCCTTAAACTCGAGACCACACATCACATCCTTATCCTCTTCTTGTCTCTGCCGCTCTTTCCCGCTTTTATCTCTCGATGGTCTCGCCGGAGAGGCGACGCAACCCACCTCTCTTCTTCTCTCCGGTAGCTTCAACCACCGGTTTCTCAGTTCATTGCTGCGGCGGCTCGGTATTCCCGGTTCTTGTCCTCTACGTCTGCTTCAGGAAGATGGAGATTGGAGTAAAGACCATTTCTGGGCAGTCATTCGATTTCTCCGACACTCTTCAAGACTTCACGAGATTCTTCCTGTAAATTCGAAACTTCCTCTCCTTTTTCATGAAACGTAAGAAACGACATGAAAGATGGTTAATTTCTTTCTCAATTTCAGGTTTTTGATGCGTGGAAGAATCTAGAGCCTTTACGAATCAGCGAGGCGAATTACGAGAAGATTATTAGGTTTTTATGTGAGGAAAGATCGATTAATGAAGCGATTCGAGCTTTCAACGGTATGATTGATGAACATAAGCTATGCCCATCTTTGGAAATTTACAATTCAATCATACATGGTTATGCTAATGATGGGAAGTTTGAGGAAGCTATGTTCTATTTGAATCAGATGAAAAAGAATGATCTTGTACCCGTAACCGAGACGTACGATGGTTTGATTGAAGCTTACGGTAAATGGAAAATGTATGATGAGATTGTTTTGTGCATCAAGAGAATGGAAACTGATGGTTGTGTGCGTGACCATGTTACTTATAATCTGCTTATACGCGAGTTTTCTCGAGGAGGGTTGCTTAAGAGAATGGAGAAAATGTATCAGAGCTTGATGTCTAGGAAGATGACTCTGGAGCCTTGTACATTGTTGTCAATGCTCGAAGCTTATGCGGAGTTTGGGGTATTAGAAAAGATGGAAGAAACGTATAACAGGATTGTAAGGTTTGGGATTTCTCTCGATGAGGATTTAGTTAGGAAATTAGCGAATGTTTATATTGATAACCACATGTTCTCGAGGCTCGGTGATTTGGGTTGTGGCATTCGTAGGACCGATCTGGCTTGGTGTCTCAGGCTTCTGTGCCATGCCCGTCTTGTGAGTCGAAAAGGTTTGGATTATGTTGTTAGAGAGATGGAAGAAGCTAGAGTTTCTTGGAATACAACTTCTGCCAATATCGCCCTTTTAGGGTACTCAAAGATGAGGGATTTCAAGAGCATTGAATGGTTACTCTCTGAGCTAAGAACAAAACACGTGAAGCTTGATCTTGTAACTGTAGGAATTGTCTTCGACTTGAGCGAAGTTGGGTTCGATGGTACTGGAGTTTTTATGACTTGGAAAAAGATTGGGTTTCTTGATAAGCCTGTGGAAATGAAGACAGACCCTTTGGTTCATGCTGCATTTGGGAAAGGGAAGTTTCTTACGAGATGCGAAGAAGTAAAGAACCAGTCTCTTGGTACGAGGGACGAAGAATCAAAGTCGTGGACTTACCAGTATCTAATGGAGCTTGTGGTTAAGCATCAGAAAACTGTACCTTAGTATGTATATTTCAACCTATACAAACACTAGACTGTATGTAAAGACTAACAGCGATAACCACCACCCACGTCATCACTCTCCTTTGTTCACGATGTCTCTCTGTTTGCATTTGTCTTGTATCTCTGTTTTGCATAGACCTTACAGGGTGATAATAGATTGGAGAGTTGTTCTATTTCATTGAGAACCTGTTTCTTCTTCTGGCTATTTGTTTCGCATCCACTTGTGTGTCCAAGCGATTTAGACACCATCAAATTAACAAGATAGTCGCAAACTTCACCGTGATCATTGATTGAGGAAACTGTCCGCTGTACTTGTTCTTCAACGGTCTCATCTAGAGTTCCATTTCTCTGCATTTGTTTTCTGCTTGCCTGCAGTATCAATGAGATTGTTATCAAATCAATTTTATATATCCAAACCTATATCGATTATTAGCCTTGAGAGTAACCTTATCTGCGTTACTAACCTGGAATGCACGATTCAACTTGGCTGCTTGCTCAGAGTTCAATAGCTGAGCTTGCATAAGTTCTCGAAACAAAATTACAATCTCGCTGCTGATATTCGTGCCAGTCAGATTTTGTATCATGCTAGAGATGCAAGACTCATCAAAAACAGTTCTCAGCCACTCTGGCTTGTTCTTGAGTCTTAGCATGGCAACGGTTACATAGACCACTGGCTTGTGGTGGTTCACAAAGGTATTTGATGCCGAACAAGGCATGGCCAAGGACACTGACATTTCTTCTGCGATAAACCTGTACCATGAGCTGGTCGGAAGCATCTCTGTTCTTCCTTCCATGTCTTCCCATCGTATGATCATGGACAGACAAAGTGCAGAGTTTGTCGCTACTCTTATGTCATTATAGAATACAAGACCACCTAAAACAGCCTTCATTGATCTCAGGTAACTCGATGAACACCGTAGTTGTTCTTTTTTTGTGTCAATCTGTTCTGATAGTCTAGTGAACAACTCTAAAAGACAACAAGAGGCGATGATCTTGATTTGCGGTGCTCCAAAATGCATCAACCTGCACAGATTGTGGCAATGGATGCAGACTATGGGCAGTGTTTCCAGGTTGCCCGATGGACCAAAGAAAGTTTGCCAATCCACTGCTCCAGCTAGAACAATCTGCAAGCTAAAGGCCAAAAGGGAGTCAGAACGGTTCGAAGTAGGATCTAACAGTGTGAACAATTTTAGATGCTACCTTCTTAATGAGAAAAAGTAGAGAGGTAACGTGAATGCTAGAGCTTCCCCAATGTCAGTTTCATCCTGATACTGAGTCAGTGCTGGACCCTTTGAGCAAGCTACATCAATCACAGTGTTGATTGCTGATACCAAGTACGAATTCAATACAATACTTCTTGAAGCTTCCATAAGTGCTCCCTCTGAAGAGTGGTACAGAACCAAAGAAAGAATGCCAATCACCATCATACCTTCATTGTTCTGTGTTATGGCAGTCTTTCGCAAGCTCAGATAATTTAACAACTACAAAACAAAGAGATACAGTGAGCTCCTTGATAAAATGACAATGTTGGTGAAGAGTAGGTCTAGACGGAACACCTTCATAAATACAGCATCCCAGGATTCATCATTTTTAAGCACTCCAGGTTGCACAGAAGCTAAAATATTGAATATTAACAGAAGGAGTGTTGCAAAAGATGTTCCGAAGGATGAGTTAGTAAAACCACAGACGATTCTGTGAATTGCATTGCCAATGCCATTCATGGTTAACTGGTTGGAGGCAGTTGGGGATGTAGAAACGACCGTGGTCATCAGATTTAGAATGGAGATAACATCATTCTCTTGCTCTTTCTTCTCTTCGAGCTGTATCAACATGTTAACCAAAATAGTTGCAGCATAGCTGTCTCCTTCTGATATCAACTTTGCAAACCAATATGTGAGTGATCTCTGTTTGCCATCTCCATATACATTGTGAACTTCATTTCCAATTAAGTTGTTCTGGGAAATCTTTTGGATCTGGTAAGATAAACTTTTGCTGATATTTTCTTGTTGAAAAAGCCACTTCAGAGATTCTAGATGAATATCAGTGGAACCCAAGTCCCACTCATATTCGTTTAGTAGATGGAAGAGTATCCTCTCAGCTTCTAGACTGTACGATATCTGGTATCTCTTGTTTTGAAGACTCCTGCAAATACTATATAGATTCACTAGATGCAGCATAGTTGGAGAATCAGAGATCGTACGTATTAAACTTGTCCGATTTACAAGAATGTATTGCTCCAAAGAAGCCAAAACCAGCTTATCATCTGCAAGCCTGCAAAAGATGCAAAAGAATGTAAGGAAAATAAATAGATTGCAGCTCCTTAGTGCTTCCATCAAAAACATGATTAAGACTCAAAAGCCCAAGTCACCTGTCATTGTATATCCAACTGGTATGGAATATCAGCAGAGCTGCGGACTGGCAAGAAGCCAACTCTCGATTATTGGAACTATCTTGCCCGAGCAAAAACAGCAAATCTTGTGGATCGGAAGGAAGAAAAGGAAGAGCATCTCTGATAAGTGACCCCGTTTTCTGTTTGAGAAGAACATCAACAAGGGAGCTGAGCATCAAATATACCCTCTGTTTTATCTTAGCAGTAGAAAAGTTTCCCAGAGAGCCGAATGAAAAGCTGAACCAATCTGCTGAAACAAGTATTTCCGCAAACTCCACGACTTTGGCATCTAAATTCTGAAGCAGAACAGAATGAAAAGTTTCCATTATCCCAAGAGTTGCTTCCTCATTGATCTCGTTGATATCTGCGAGGAACCATGGCAATAGATGTGATGCACACACGTCGATAACACTGTGTCTTAACTCAATGCAACTGGTCTTGTTTATGCATGTTGGTGCAGAACAATATGCATATACTTCATTGAGTAAGTAGACTGCATGCGAGATCTGGGAGGAATCTTTATCAGGGAGACTAAGACAGGCCAAAATAGCATGTCTTAGGGATTCTTGCAGTGATGTTAACACATCTGGAGTCTCAGCAAAAGATGGAGTTTTCATTAGGGAAACAAAGACCGAGCAGATAATCGCAAATGCCTCCGGAAACAATCCCATCTCCTGAGAATAATGTTTCTCAAGCATCCTTTTCAGAACCAGAGCAATTTCCTGAACTTGAGACCTCGAAGCACTCCCAGGGAAAACAGAAATGCAGCTCGAAATAAGCTTCAGTGTCTGTATTTGAAAGGGGTGGCAAGGAATTCCTCCAACATAGTGAAGCACTTGGATGACTGAAGGGAACCCAATAACAAGTCTCTTCCGAAAGGAATGCTCGGTGAGGGAAAATAGATCAAGAACTCTGAGGCATGAGTTGATGACCTGATCTTTACATTCTGTTCATGAAAAGGAGTTTGTCAGTCGGACACATAAAAGCAAATATCTATCAATGCTCATGCAGAGGGGAGCTTCCAGAAGACAGAACAGTAAAAGCCAGAGAAAGATAGGACTCAAAACGGAAATTATAATTGGCGATGTGCATAAAGGCTATTTAACAAGTTGCTAAATTTGTGTAGGAAACAACGGACTATCCATTTGACATCAGAAAGAGGTATATGATAACTTCATTTCTTAGCTTCTCAAAAATTTCTGGTCCTTCCAGTATAATGAGGAATGCCCAATAGCAGTATATTATTCACTTACTCAAAGAGACTTGCCATTACCTGATAACCGCAGTATCTCAAATATATAATCAGCAACATTCTCTTCTACCAGAACTTGAATCTGTTTGCTCGGAATACTCTCTTGGGAAACATAATGGAAGATAAGATCAAGGGCTCTTATTTGCACCTCGCTGTCAGTGGAAAGCAACGGACCTTTGATGGCCTCAGCAAATAAGATATTTAAACAAGGCCTGGTGACTACAGTCTCAGCTGTCTGCATAGGGTCATCATCTAGTTCATCCAAGCTCATGCTGCTGACATGACTTGTATGTGAATTTGCTAAAAGACCTTGCTGGGCCAAGATGGTCAAAAGAGCTACAAAGTTAAAAAAATCTATGTTAGCTGAAATACGTATGGTAGCCTCAGACTGAGAATGTTCTACCGAATGAAAGGCAATAAACAATATGACATATTGTTCCAGGCAGAAGAAGTAGAGCAATGGGAGATGACAATTACAATCTAAGGCTGAAATATGTCAAACGCATAAGAGGAAAGCAGATAAGTAAAAGCTCCATACGAACCTACACAATTCAAGCGAACCTCATCTCTTTGCGTCTTTGCAAGAGCTTCCAAGGATAGGCATAAGAGCTTAGAACACAACGAAGAAAGAATCTCGATTCCATCAACATTTTGTTCTGTGAATTGTAGACCAGAAAACTTGTACAGAACGAAAAGGATTTCACCGCGTATCTCCTCGCTAGTATGAAACAAACAGGAGCAAATCAAAATAGGCCTCATACAAGATAGAACAAACATGAGGTTTCCAAGTGACTTATGCACATTACCTGGGTAATTGAAGACCTTCAGCGAGTTGGCAAACAAGAGATTCTTTATCTTTGATGTGAGAATTGACGTCTATATTCTCACAGCTCATCAGAACACCAAAGCAATGGAGCTGCAAACACAGAAATTGAGCAATGTATGAGAGATTTAGTGACTGCAACAAGCTACTCCATGCTCAAATGAGTCCCAATTGCAAATCTAAATTGACAAAAAAAACCAGAAAAAGGCAACATTACCATATGAAGCTGTCTTCGGCTCCAACCCAATGCACCAGAAGAAAGCTGATCGGAGATTCTCTCCACAAAATCCTCTCCGATTGAAGATTCCTTAACGGAACAGAGAAGAGAGATGGTTTCCATGATCTGGATTGCGATTGGAGCATCATCGAACGAAGAGAGAGCTTGAACGAGAGGCGATACGAGAAAGTGAACATGAGAGGATAGTAGGGTTCGGAGGAAGATAGGTTCAGAGAGAGCGATTGAGAGCTGGGAGATCGCGTAGGAAACATGGACGGTGGGTACGCGTTGATCGGAGACGAGATTTGCGAAGCAGAGAAAGCAGAATGTTCCTCCTTGGTTGGTGCGCAGAGAAATCGTTGATCGGTGACCATTTGCGCATGGCCGCGACGGTGATTCATGGTTAAGATCCGCCATAGCTTCACGGAGATGATGATCGGAGTTTTGTTCCTGCGAATCTAGAAAGAACATTTGAGAGAGCGCCAAAGAGAGAGACTTGAGAAATTTCTCTCACAAAAATTTCAAAATTAATATTTTATTTTCGAAATATGTTTTTATATAATTAATTTTTTTTTTTTTGACGCTTCTTCTCTAACCTTCAGTTTCTTCTTCCATTGTTCTTTGGATTTTTTTGTGATTCGATGCATTTATCGTCGTCTTCTTCTCGTCCGGCGAAGAATCTCTTGTCGATTTTCTTCAGAGCTCGAGCTTTCTCAGGAACCACCGAGAATCCTAACCTCTTCTCTCTTCTACATCAATCTCCAAACGCTAAGCATCTTCGCCATCTTCACGCTCATCTTCTTCGTACTTCTTATTATTCAAACGTTGTGCTTAGCTCCAAGCTTGTTCTTGCTTACTCAAAGCTCGATCATCTCTTTCCTAATTCGCTTGCTGTTTTCTGGCACATGCCTTATCGGAACATTTTCTCATGGAATATAATCATCGGCGAATTCTCTAGATCGGGTTTTGCGTCGAAATCAATCGGTTTGTTTCTTCGTATGTGGCGAGAAACGAGCGTTAGACCCGATGATTTCACGCTTCCTCTTGTTCTACGAGCTTTCTCTGCGTCTCGGGAAGCGAAACTCGGGGATTTGATTCATGTGTTGTGCTTGAAACTTGGATTTGGTTCAAGTTTGTTTGTTAGTTCAGCTTTAGTGGTCATGTACGTTGATATGGGGAAAATTTCATGTGCACGTAAGTTGTTCGATGATATGCCTGTTAGAGACTCTGTTCTTTATACTGCTATGTTTGGCGGGTATGTTCAGCAAGGAGAAGCCATCTTGGGTTTCGCTTTGTTCAGAGAAATGGTCTATTCTCGATTTTCGCTTGATTCGGTSGTAATGGTGAGTTTACTTATGGCTTGTGGTCAACTTGGGGCTTTGAAGCACGGGAAGAGCGTCCATGGATGGTGTATCCGGAGATGCTCTTGCTTGGGTTTGAATCTTGGAAATGCCATTACAGATATGTATGTAAAGTGCTCAAAACTCGCTTATGCGCACAAACAATTCGTAAATATGCCGAAACGAGATGTGATCTCTTGGAGCTCTCTTATTTTAGGTTATGGTTTGGATGGAAACGTTGTAATGTCGATAAAACTCTTTGATGAGATGATCCAGGAAGGAATTGAACCCAATACTGTCACTTTTCTTGGTGTGTTATCAGCTTGTGCACATGGCGGTCTTGTGGAAAAGTCTTTGCTGTATCTCAGGCAAATGCAAGAATATAAGATAGTTCCCGAGTTGAAACACTATGCTAGCGTGGCGGATTGTATGTCTCGAGCTGGTCTTCTGGAAGAAGCAGAGAAGTTTATGGAAGAAATGCCTGTGGAACCTGATGAGGCTGTTATGGGTGCGGTGTTGAGTGGGTGCAAGGTGTATGGAAATGTAGAAGTAGGGGAAAGAGTTGCGAGAAAGCTGATTCAACTCGACTCTGGAAAAGCTGGCTACTATGTAACATTGGCTGGTCTATATTCAGCTACAAGTCGGTTTGACGAAGCTGAGAGTCTAAGGCAGTGGATGAAGGAAAAGCAGATTTCTAAGGTTCCAGGTCGTAGCTCAATATGAAAGATGGGATGGAGATTTCTAAGCTTATGGGTTGTTGATGTGAAAAAGATTAACAGAAGAGTTTCGCATTCAGCAAAAGTGCAACTGGAGGTCAGGATCTCTCGACGAAATCGCTCGACGACTTTAATTGGTACAGGCGATATTGAAGGACAAGCGGAGAATTGGAGAATATAGTCAGAAGAAGGAAGAAGGGAAAACGGAAAGAGGAAAGAGTCGGGAAGAAGAAACCATGAGTCAAGTCGATGATGGTCTACTGCTGTTGAATTGGTCATCTAAAAAAGGTTAAGATTTGCATTTCCTAGTTTAATCTCTCGGGACGGATTATTACACCCCAAAATAAATAAACAACTCGCGTATTATTATGATATATAGTTGTCGGATGTTGGCCATCGCCAAAAATCACAAAGCTCAAGGTCATAAACACATCAAAGTAAATCAACATGAAATTTGAAATGATTGTCCTCTTGATTTGGATAACAGTTTTGTTTAGACCAGGACTGGGGGATTGAGAACGGCATAAGCAAGCAAGTCTTGGTCATGGAGGAACACAGTCATGTCTTGCTCGGGTAGATTTATCCAGGCTTCTACACCGTCACCATCTTTTGAATCAATTAGCGCCACAAGTACCATGTTCTCGCTATGTGAGGCGGATCCAAGCCAGACCGGACTACCCCATCCAAAATCCACCTTGTAGAAAGGCTTTCTGCACCAGCTAGTCATTGTGTATAAGTCTATGTCCGGTTTGACCTCTGACGCAAAAATTCCCATCACACTCAACAAATACTGACCAAGTGTATTGCCTTGGAGATTCTCCTTAATCATCTCGTTGACTTCTTCTTTGGCCTTCCTGAGTGAGCCACGGTTTCTCTGATTTCCAAGTCGCTCTCTGCACCTTTCTTGAGAAGGAGTGATGTTTGTAAGTTGCCGATCATGTCACGTGTAGACGGAATCCTAAGTCGCAAATCCATGGCTTGAAACATCAGCGTTGGCCTTGGAAGCACTTTGTTAGAGCGCGAAGCATTTCTGGCACATCTCCAGAGGAGTGCCGAGATAGCTTCCACACGTGTAGGTAAAGGGACGGTTTCGCTAGCGGCCTTGCGTTTTAGCTCAGCTATCTTAGAGGAGTCGAAGACAAACCTATTTGTTACACACTTTCTTGTTAAATTGACAATATCGGAATCAGTAGATGGTAACTGTAACGAGACATGATCATGAGGAGGATAAATGGTCGTCTCGGCAAAGTGAATAGTATCATTTGACGTCCCTTTTGCAGTGGTCGTGGCCCAATCCTTGACAAAGGTCAACAATGAGGCTCCGTCGCAGATTCTGTGAGAGACAGAGACCGAGATCGCTACTCCTGAACCAGACCCGAAGAAAGTGACCATGACACTTAACAATGGCCAGTCCGTCCGCAGAATCTCCAGGGCTGGTCGGGGAGAATCCTTGTTGAGAGCCCATGTTGATGTTTCTCAAGAAATCGGGGAGAAGAAGATCCGTACGTGCCTCAGTGAAGACAGCTCCTTCGTCGTTGCAGCTGATGGAGACGCCTTCTATTCGTCCAGCGAGTGGATAGAACCCTGACAGAGTCTCGGACAGAGAGGTTTTCAGTTTACTGGCGATGATCTCCGGCGATAGATCTTCACTTTGTAGAAGAAGATCGGCGACAAGTAAATCCCGGGACAGGTGAGATCGAGGAAAGAGAGTTGAAGACGACCATGAGGTGAAGCTGAAGAAGGCTTGATCACTTCTCTCCTCATCACCTCTAGCTTCACTTGTTCCATTGTCTTCCTTCAAAATCTTTAAAGTCAAATGGTAAAAGATTGGTCAAGTTTAGCGGAGAGTAGAAGCCGGAATAAACAATGGATCAGAAATATGTACTGTATTATCGCATTTTAAAATTGTATTTTAGTCGATCATACAAAAAAACAAAATTAATGAGGATATCACATTAATTATGAAAGAAAATGTTGGGGGTTAAATTGTCGCCATGCAAGTGCGAAAAATTCTAATGGTTTTAAAATGCTTAAACCAAAGTTTGTAATCTAATCGTCTATTTTAGACTGTTTCTTTAATCAGTTTTAAACCTAGTAGCATGCGTGTGAGCTTTGAGTTTGTTTTTTGAGAAATCACAACTTGGTTCTACTATGTAATTAATTAACTTGAGTGTTATTCATAATAGGAAAAGCAAGAAACTGTACAAAACAAACTTTTAAAATAAACGTTGTAATTAATGATGGTTCCATTGTTCAGAAATGCAACAATTTATCAAATCAAGCATAGAGCAATCTTAGATATTCATGACATTTCTCCTCCTTACACTGAGAAGTGACTGGTAGGAGTCTTGTTTGTTAGTTTATAATTGAGTTTAGTTGTAGTTTTTTAAAACTATACACGTGTGTGAGTATGTAAAGTGAAAGGGTGTATTTACTAGTCGTGACTTGTCGGAGAAGAAATGGTAGTTATTTAGTTTGAGAGATAAGACCCAATTTCTTCACTTGTGTCTCTTAGTTTTGTATATAAGTGTGTACGTAACATGTCTTGATGTAAACTTGTCGAGAATAAAGAGATTTTTTCAGATTTTTGTTTTGTTCTCTTGTTTTCTTCCAACATTGTTTAGGTCAGGACCGGGGGATTTACAACGGCCTAAGTGAGTAAGTCTTGGTCACGGATAAACACGGACATTTCATGCTCGGGTAAGCTTATCCATGCCTCTACACCATCACCATCTTTTGAATCAATCAGCCACACAAACCTCCTCCTGGGGTTATCGAGTATAGATCCAATCAAGACCGGACTACCCCATCCAAAGTCAACCTCGTACTGCACCAGCTAGACATTGAGTATATGTCTATCTCCGGTTTGACCTCTGACGCCAAAACTCCCATCATACTCACCAAATACTGACCAAGTGTATTTCCATGGAGATTCACTTCAATCACCTCGTTGACTCCTTTGGCCTTCCTTTATGCGGCCACGGTTTCGCAGATTTCCAAGTCGCTCTCTGCGTCTTTCTTGAGAAATAATTTTGTTTGTAAGTTGCCGATCGCGTCACGTGACAAAACAGTAGAGGGAAGCCTAAGCCGCAGATCCATGGCTTGGTACATCAGCGTTGACCTTGGAACCGACAAGTTAGAGCGCAAGGCGTTTCTGGCACATCTCCGTACAAGCGCCGAGATAGCTTCCACACGTGTAGGTACAGGGACGGTCTCGCTCGCCGCCTTGCGTTTTAGCTCAGCTATCTTAGAGGACTCGAAGACTCGTACGAACCTATTTGTTACAAACTTGCTTGTTAAATTGACAATATTACGAGGCACAGATGAGGACTGTAAAGAGACATGAGGAGGAGGGGGGAAAATGGTCGTCTCAGCAAAATGAATAGGATCAGTTGACTTCCCTTTTGCGGCGGTTGTGGCCCAGTTCGTGAGGAAGGTCAACATTGAAGATGCATCGCATACCATGTGAGAGAAAGAGACCGAGACCGCCACTCCTGATCCAGACCCGAAGAAGGTGACCATGACACACAACAACGGCCACTCATTTGCTGAATCTTCTGGAGTAGTCGGGGAGAATGGCTTTAGAGAGTCATCAGCTTTGAGATTTCTCAAGAAGTCGGGGAGAAGAAGATCGGTGTGTGTCTCGGTGAAGACGATCTTGAGGTGAAGGTAAAGAAGGCTTCACCACTTCTCTCCTTACCACCTCTATCTTCACTTCTTTCATCATCTTCCTTGTAAAATCTTGAAAGTCAACGATTAAGAATGCTTAGAGTAGAGGAAACAAGGTTCTGATCAGAATCAGATATATTAGAAATGAAATTACATGGAGGCCATTACATTGATTATGAATGATATTAAAATTAATAATTAAAGTCTAAACCGTGCAACACGAGGGAATGAATAAAACTAACTTAAATTAAAAGAGTAACCAAACCATCAATATATATAAAGACTTGTTTTTAAACGAGAGAGCCTTATCCTCTGTTTATTAGGCCTTTGTTAACTCTCTCGTACTTTTGAGTATGTTTTGTCTTCCTTGGTTGGCAAGCATGTAGGGTATCTCGGTTATGACCTTGGTCATGGTTTGTAATGGATTTTTTTTTTATCTTTTGCAATGTAAAAGAAACAGATGACAAAAAAATAATAAACATCAATGTTGGGAGTAAACTTTGCTTTGAATCTCTTATCTATTAATCGGGATGTTATTGGGAGTAAAATTTTTAATAATTTTTAGAATTCGTAAAATATACTAGTATTGATTTATAAATTCTAACAATTTTAGTAAAATCTATTGTTATTCAAAAAATTTAGTTTTTAATGATTTTGTAATTCTAACAGAATCTAATGTTATTGAATGTATGATTCTTAACAATTTTACTTGTTAAACAAAATTTTCACAATCTTACGTGTATACATGAAATTCTAAAAATCTTTACTATACAATTCTTTGATAGATTTATTGAATACACAATACTCTTTTCAAACTTAACAAATCTCTCTATAATTAACAAATCTCTAAACTTTTAAAATCAAGTAACTCTAGCTAAATTTTGTTCCCAATAATCCTCCTTAATAGTTTTATAAGCGTCAAACCAATCATAACGATGAACCCGTTCAGAGCCATATCGACGGAAAAAGTGACAAACCATTGAATAAAAACTACGAAATGCTCTAGACTAGAATGTTAGAGTAGCTCGAACGGTGTGGAGTTTCTCAAAATTATAATATATTTTTTTTAGTGTAAATAAATTATTTAATTAAATACGAAAAAACTAACCAATCATTAGTATAGATGTGGCACAAAATTTCTGATATTCACCTTAAAAGTTTCTCAAATAAGAATCGGATTCTCTTTTCCCTTTATTGTTACTTTTTATTTTTTTAATAGTGAGATACTCATTTAATATCAGAAACGGCTCTTTTATAACCTGCATTGGCTCGGTCAACGGTCTTGTGTGCTGACTCAGTAGCCACGTGTAATTTTCTGCTCATATCAGTGTAGTAGAACTTTTTTTTGCTGACCCAACAGCCACACAAATTTTAAAGTAATATTATTTTTTGGTAATTTTTAAAGTAATATTATTAACGCCTAGTATTAGTTCCAAAC